CATGTGATTCAACTAGAGTATGTAAAATATCGTTATGATCTATCCTACGAAAAGAACTGCCATTCAAAACCAAAGTCAAAAAAGACACATATCCACATGTGTCAGACATATACAGTGTGGTCATTTGCACAACACAAAACCATCCAAGTTAGAGGTGGTTTACTAGGCTACTATACAACATATGAACACTGTATACCAGAGTTTACCAACTTCATTGCAGAGAGTTTATATGCAAAATATCTTGGTGTTGGAGCACTTGTCTGCTAGACAAGGCTACCATATCCTCCTCTCTTCCTCGCATAGCCTCTTGTAAAGTCCCTTTTGATGATCAATAAACTGCAAAAACAAATCCCTTCGTTTCTTCGCTTTCTCGTATTCCTCGGTTTTACAACAAACAACCTTCAATTCATTGTTAAAGCAACCATCCCTTCTACTCGGTAGTTTGTTCTGTCCATTGTAAATGCTTGAATCAAACACCTAATACAGCAGAAATAGTGTCAAAAAGCATGGAGGGAAATGGTTGTAAGATGATGGTTTTGGCGCAAGCATCCATGAACGTCTTGGAACCTTTAATTGTCCTGAAAATATAATTAATACACCCGAGTAGGACTTACAGGAGATTTTAGCATCAAGCTCCAATGATCAGTCATTGACAATTTTTCAGTGACTACCCATGGTCTGCAGGCAGTGATATGAAGGGATGATTTGAGAACAAAAAGTATACTAATCCAAAAAGAAAAATTATAATAGAGTTCAGCTGAATGTAAAAGATAAATTCACATTTTGTAGCTCTGGTACTTGTAACCAAAAAATCCCCGAAAAGGACAAGAACAGAACAAAATCATATGTACTATGTAAATCGGATTTAGGAAAATAAGAATCAAAAGTGCAAGCTCAATAAATGCGTCAATAACCAACAATGAAATGCTGATGGGTTTAATAGTAGCACAAACAAGATGATAAAATCACTAGTTAATGAAACTAATTCTGAAGTTATAATGCTATAAAGACAACCCAATTATATGCATATGTCATAACTTACCTCCCATTTGAGGATACGATGAAATTATAAGGATTCTGCAAAAAATCAAACAACCGTCCTTCGACATCTCTTTTGCAATCCAACATGATGACACCATTGGTATATGGCTCCCATGGTAAACTCGGGAAAATATATACTTGTGTTGCAATTGAAGTTTGTTTATAGATAAACTTCGAAACTGTTAATGAAGATAATTCTTTTTCCAGATTTTGAACTAGTATTAAGTAAAGCTTTTTACCCCCTCCTACATCAGTATCCTGTCTATCGTCGCAATTCTCTCCTATAACAATAGCACAGAAAACTTGCTATTACATATGTAAGAATATTTATTGATTTAAATCAAGTATTTATAGAAATAAAATTACGGACAAACCTTTAAATGGCCACACTTCACTCAAAGACTGCCGAGCATACTTTCCCTACAAATAGGTAGGTATAGCATCAATATCTCCCTACTGCTATATACTTGGAAACAAATAAACTCCTAAACTTCACATACAAAAAAAGTTACCTGTATCGAATTCCCAATGAGACGCCGCTTCTGTTTGACAATCGGGCTACTGTTGTTTTCTTTAAGTTGAACAACAAGATCATTACTAGTAGTTCCAGAAACAAATTTGCACGAGCCTTTCTCGCTGTTTCGGGTCGCTATCTCCATGAAAGTTGCTACTTTGGGGTGTAACTCAGAATCTTGCGGAAGGCATATATTTGCAACCCCCTTGTCGGATACATTGCCAACATCAGGACCATGCAGCCAAAAAAGCAGGAAGATGCAATTACACTCTTCTTGGCCATTCAGATTCAAGTGCTCCTTACGCAGAATCTGAAAGATGAAAAAATAGCTCACTTTCTTAATATAAATAAGAACTCAACATCAGGGATTTAAATTGCGGTTGCATTTTTGTTTGTGTCCATTGCTATTGCCATAATCGCAAGTATCGCGGTCGTGAAATAACGGTTTCAGACAGCACCTACACTGCTATATAAGGAACAGCTATTTAAATCCTGCAGACTCAGCATATATATTTATCTGAAGTACATGAGCATAGACCTACTATTCTTCAATGCCAAAAAAGGGGATGTCCGCCAAATACCAATACAAAAGCAATAACAATATTACAAGAATCAACAAAGACAAAAATGTCCTTTTTGTTAAAGCTAAAAAGAAATAATTAACACCAAGATGAGGTCTTTTAACAGTTCCATACCGAAGGCAAAAGAATGGCAAATATGCAAGACCTTCATTTCCGAACAGACTAAGCTTTTTTTCCAAATGGGCAAAAAATAAAATTACATGCATAGTTTGAAAGGCCAGGGGAAAAGAGTTGTACGGACATCGTCGACGATGGCATCGTAAAAGAGAACTTCGCCGTCGGCAAAAGTATCGGAAGCGCAAACGCGCATGCCTTTGACGACCTTTGGGCAATCATGATCCTGAAGCTGGGCGGAGACCTTACGTATCCTGCCAACGAAATCGTGAATCTCGTTCTCCGACTTAAAATTTTCAGCCGGGAAAACGTCGTCTATATCGTCGGGGAATTTGTCGTACTTGATTCTCAGCTTTTCACTTCTGTCGCCCTCTAACAATAATCGGACACTGTACCAGGCGTCGTCTGGGTACGACCGGAACTCCATGTCGTAGCCTTCATCCGCCGTATCTGAGGAGTGGCTGGCGCCGGATTGCGACATTGCTGACGGCTTGCCTTTGCTTTTTTTCCCCTTTGCTGTAAGTTTGAAAGGTAACCAATTTTTTTTGGATTTTTGTAGAGAAAAAGAAACATACGAAGGATAAGGAACAAATAAATGGGCGCACCTAAATATTATTATTTTTACTTAAAATATTAATATTTTTTAATATTTTTAATAAAATATCTAACAATAATAAAATCGGTAAAGCGTCCAATAATAATAAAATTAATAGAAATAATAATATTTTTGGTAATTTTTTATCCGTTTTTTATTTAATAATAATAAAATTAATAATATTTTTTTAACCGTATATTAAGCCCGAGGCATATAATCATTTTCCATCAAATTGAGCTGGTTTGTAAGATGTTTCACTATTATTAATAGTGAGTTCTTTCTTTTTCAGACTCGTGCCTCTAATCATCCGAATGATTAAGAATCTTATATTAGGATGAGTTTAGAGGGAGTGATTATTAAATATCTCATTTTCGTCCTTAATTATAATTTAAATTTTATTCTGATTTTTTCAAGTAATAATTTTTTAAAAGAAATTAAAAAATCTAGAATTTATTTTCAAATATGAAAATAATTTATTTTTAAAATTAAAAAATTATAATCTTTTGAAATTTATTTATTTATTTATCAAATTATTTTATTACTAATTATTTATTGATCTTGATTGTATTTGTAAAATTAAAGTTTTATAATTTTTGAGATTAAATTTTTTTTAATTATCAAACAATGTAATTATTTTTTATTAAACAATATGATTCAAGCATCCAACTCTTGTTTAAGAAGTTTAAACATAATTTTAAAAAATACATCAAGAAAATTATAATATCACATTAATTAAAAAATACATTCAAACTTCAATAAAAATAATTGAAAGAACCGTTAACTTTATCAAGTCGTTTATATAGTATAAATTCAATATTTATAATATGACACTAAAAATAATTTTTAATTTATTTATACCCATTTTGTTTTCAATTTAAGGAACATAATCAAGATTATTTTAATTAAATTAATAGTAAAATAAAATTTTAGTTACAATTAAAGTATCAAATGAGATAATTTTTTTTATTAATTTAATATGTCACATCACTTCTTTAATGGTAGATAATGGTGTTGCACCCATTTTGTAACAAAATTTAAAGTTTAATGCCTATTATATAATTTTGGAAAGTTTTGTGTCCAAAATGATCAGTTTTTTATATAGTTTAATGTCCATTTATAATTTTGATCTTATAAAATTAGTTGTGAATATCAATGTTTGACCTCCATTTTAAAATTTTCCCTTATATTAGAGAGTAACCTTATAATTTAAAAAATATATATTTAATAAAAAATAATGAATTTTAAAATACTAGAGAGTAATCTTATAAATTCTTAGACAAAATATTGAATTATTATCTTTGATGATTAAAATTTTAAAAACAATGAATTTTTAAAATATCTTTAGAAGATACTTCAGGTATTATTGAAGTAAATAATAATATTATTTATTTAAAAATTTAAATGATTTGAATAAATATAATATTCAATTTGCATACATTTACTTATTTATAGTATTCACTTTAACTTGCTGTCATTTAAAAAAATAAAAAAATATATGGGTGAAGAATTTATAAGATCTGAATTATTTATATATACTATTTAAATATAAAGAACTGAACTAAATCGTTGCTAAATTAGATATTTAAATATATAATGAAGTAATTCCAAAAAAAATATGTAATTGATAGAGAGAACCATTTATAATAATATTTTAATGATTTTTAATAAAAATATGTTTTAAAGTATTTTTTAATGATGAAAGATTTAATAAAATTTATAAATAAAAAAGAGTAAAAAAAATATTTTACCTTCTTTTATAATTCACACGTCAACAATAAAAAAACAATTTCACTTCTTTCACAATGTAGAAAGACTAATTCACGAGTAATTTTGCTGTGCAGACGGATTAATTTATGATAATTTTTACTCTAAAATATTATCTTATTTAATTTAAAAAATTATATAATTTATAACAATGTCAATTACAATAAAAATATTACATTGCAATCAATTTACACATTTTTCAATAAAAGAATCAAAAAGTAGTTCATGGACTCGATTTAAATTCATGTCATTAATTTAATAATAAATTGTTTACTATTTATTTTTCACGGGGGAAAGGGATCGCTTATTGTTTAGTACAACTATCCCCATTCCAGAAGCTAAATTATACAATAACACATGAAACGCAGCCGTTTGAGAGTCTCCCAACATTTTATTAAAACTCACACGGATATGTCTTTACCAAAAAGTCCAGCTATTCCTTTGCCAGGGTCGCTTTGCTTCACTATTGATTCCCCAACCAAAACCTGTAACGGAATGATCTCTATAAGCATATGAAAGATGGATTCCATAGCTGTTGATACCGATTTAACTTCAAATTCGCAGCGAATGTCGCAAATTGCAGTCATAAACATTATTTTCTCACATTCAATTTACGAACCAGATTAGTTCTTGGATGATCATATATAAAAAAGTAGGATTATTAGTTCTACGAGGTCGATGTCTATCACCTTCACCTTGTAACACACTTCCTTAAAGTAACTCAATGTTACTCCAACCCCGTACCAAAAAGAATCTTATTCTCAGGTTTTTCTTCACTTGCCTAACTCTAACATGGTAACATGCAACAGATAGGAAAATACATTCTTGTTGATCCAAGATCATCAAGAAAATAAAAGAAAAACATTTCTAATATCGAGCAAATTGTTTAATGTAACTCACCGCTTTAACACCAGCTTCTTGCACGTAAGCAACATGATCCGGTGTAAATAGCCCAGATTCTCCTACAACCTGATGTGGTAAATTTAAAAATAGATTGTTTAAACATATATAAGTTGCATGTACCATAGAAAAAGTGAAGCAACTTCTAATCTGTTAATGCATTGAAATTATTATAGCGAAGGTTGTTGGGCTTTCAATTTAGAGAAGGTGAAGGCTCGCTTACAATTATATCTTTCTGACGGATCAATTGGCCACGCTCTCCTTCAAGAAGCTTCTTTGTGTTACTGATATCTACCTCAAATGTTTCTGAAGACAATAAAATAGGGGAATCATTGAATCCTCTTAAATATTGATCGCAGTCTATGTTAGAGATAAAGGTTACCAAGTTTGTGGTAGACTGGTCTGTACTATTGTACAAGAAACAATATGACACTTCAATTGTGAATTTGTGATCGTTATAGTCATAGGTAATAGATATTTTCGATTTTATATACATGAAAAAACAAATAGTCCCAATACTTATTTAAAGGACTAATGTACATACAAAACGGCCATCAAGTTTGGGGAGAAACCAACACCTAAAAGGCTAAAACCAATAAAAAAATGCTTGGATTGCCAATATATAGCTGTGAGGACAAATTCTTTTCTTAAGAGATTCAATTTGAAGGCATTATAAAGCTCAAACCTAAAAGATTCTGCTTCCTACAACAGAAGCATGTGATTGTTATTCACTTGTACCCTTGTTTCTGAATATCAAAAGTCAAAACAAATTTATTTTGAAAATTTAATATTTAAAATTTAGAAAAGCCAAGATATTTTGTTAGAATTTATATTGGACTATTGAGTGATTGGTGGCTGCAATGATAAAAAAAAACCTACAACTCTCTTAACTATATTGCACATTTTGATTTTGACTAGAGGAAATATTATCCAGGTATATATTCAAAAGGATGTGGTATTAAGGGATGAATTAATCTTGGATTTTAGATTTGGAATTCATTCCCCCCTTCTACTCCACAACCAAATGATGTCTAGCATTGTCACTAGTAAGCTGATTGTCAAAATATTGACTATGGACACTTGTAAGGGGGGAAATAATATAGAACAAGGTTCTTATGTCAGAATGAATCAATGAAAAAACTCTGTACACATTCTTAGACAACTCTAGAAGTTACAGCAAAGAAGAAACTTTAAACTACAAGGATTATAATTCTCATGAGGCAACACAATTAACAATTGCAGAAACTAGCAAAACCTTACCAAGGTTACGATTATTGATACCGATAAGTTCAATCCCCTCTATACCAAGAACACGATCCATTTCCCTCTCATCATGCACCTAGAGAAAAACACAGAAGCATATTATTATTGGAAAGAAGTATATAAAAAATTAGTAATACTAAAAGCTCATTTTGGAGCCATGGGTTCAATTATACAACTCATAAAAGACTTAAATATGCTTTATAATTGAATCAAGGGGGGAAGAGGTTTTTCAAAATGCTCAATAAATTATGAAAATTCAACTCCCAAGTAAATTTCATTTCATAACCAAAAAACACCTCACCAATTAAAAAGCAATAGAAAAATGATGATGGTAACAATAATAAAGAAGCTCTGTCTAACCTCTATTAGCGCGGCCAAATCAAGCATCTTGCATATTTTAACCATATATCTGATGTCAAGATCAGGCAAAACAGCAGCAATTAAAAGTATTGCATCTGCTCCTTTGATTCGAGCATAATAGATCTGCCAAGCATCTATCACAAATTCTTTGCACAGTAGGGGGCACTGCATTCATTATAGGGGAAAGATTTATACAGGTTTACCAAGTGTACATATAAGAAAAATCAAGATTATAGATCGACTTAAAAACGTTACTCAGACAACAGACCTTAACTCCAGCACTTCTTATTGCCTCCAGATTTTCAAAGCTTCCCTAGATTGAAAAGGAGGTAAAAAGCAAGTCATAATACTAATATACAGACCAGAGAACTTTTTTCAAAATCTATATTGGAGAGAGAAAGAGAGAGAGACCGTGGAAGTGAACAAAATAGTCAGAAAACCAACTATTGTGTACCTTAAAATACTTTTCATCAGTCAAAACACTGAGACAAGCGGCTCCACCCTTCTCATATGCCTGTGCTATCTCAACCTATAATGAGAAACATTTATATTTATATATGATAATCACTCGCTAATAAAAAGGATAGAATGATAGAAGAAAAACACAAAGTTCCTTTAATTCACTCTTTCTGGAGAGAAACATACTCTTCAATTTTGAAAACTTCCTCCCTAGCATAATTTCAAGAAAACCTTAATCTTTTAGAGTATATACACTTGAATAATTCTTCTTCTTCTAGATATGACAGTGGAAACAGAAAGTTGGCACATGTTTATTTAATAATATATTTATTTATCAACTTTCATAAGTATGCATAATGAGGCCTTGATCTATATACTCCAACCTCAAGCCTCTAACCTATTTTATGGAAGAATCTTGATTTTATGAAAAATCCAATCAAACTTCCAGCATAAAAAAATTTCATTAGGAATTTCACAACCAATGTTAGAAGATTGATAAATGCCCCATAAAATTCATCATCAAATACACACAATTCAACTTTATACAATAATAACCACACAAGTAACCAGAATGAAGCTAATAATGCTAATACTAGGATAATATCCAATCCATCATGAGTAGAATAATAAAAAATGGATGCTCAATTATTAAAAAACAAAAGAAAAACAAAAGTCCTTTACTGGATCAAAATTCTCTCTCAGAATTCCTCTGCTAGGGGAAGCCTTCTTAACTTCGGCAATCAAACCAGGCAATCCCGTCCTCGAATGCGCAGCCTTAAGCGCTCCAACAAAGTCTCTAGTCGGAGGTGCATTGTCGATAAACTTCTTCAATGTAACCAAAGGCTTCCTCTCTTTCATCTGCCAAACCCAAAAATCATCATCACCACACATTCTAGAAATGTAAAAGCAAACGAATTTCAAATAAAATTAAATTAAAAAACTGTAAATATTACCTGGGAAACTTCGATGTCCTTGTTCCAAATAATTTCCTCGAGTATGTTACGGGGAGTATTGCCCTCATTCTGCAGACGGAACTCAAAGGGACCCACGAAGTGCAACGGCGGACCAGTGGGAGGCCGTCGCCGTATTCTTATACCCTGACTTTCCGCGACTTCGTTTTGGAACATTCCAACTTCCCATTCCTTTACTTTCAAAGCATCTCCCCCTCTTCCCCTTTCGGGGCTATCGTCTCGGGCTACACACCCAAAAAAATAAAATCAATTGAAAACGTAAAATTGAATGTTTATATTGATAATATTGTTATTGCTATTAACCTGCTGGGCTCGAATGGCGGGAAAATTTGAGCGACGGAGAGAAAGGTCCATTGAGAACTTGGGCAGCTGATTAAAGGAAGGAAAAGACTGCAAGGAAATTCCAGTTGTTGACTTTAGAGAAATCAGCCCCTCCATTGTTACAATTGCAAAACCCTTGCTTCTGCATTTCTCCGTTGTTTTTAAATTGTTTGGGGAAGGGAGGTGCTGCGATACGGTGCGGGTGGGTGATACGATAAAAAGTTAACGCCGACGTCAGCGGTAGGGGCATCAAAACCTGACTCTTATAAAACTAACTGAAATTAATTTGAGTTAAAATTGTTTTTGACATGCGCTGTAGCGATTCGAAATCGACTCAAGTTGAAATATGTGTTGACTTGAACCCGAGTTGGACTTGAAAATTATGTATCTGAACCCGACCTGATAACGACATGAACCGAAATTGAACCGAATATATGATACCCGACCTGCATCTAACTGATATGAACTCAAACCCGAGATTGACCTGGTAAATAACTGGTATTACCCGACATGTTTTCAACCTGACCTGTTATGAAAATGACCTGTAAATGATCTTACTTGTTATTGATCTGATATTTACCTGACTTGACATTTACGTGATTTATATATCACCATTGATGAAATATAAAATTTTAATAAAATCGTAAGATTTTGAGTTTATAATAAATCATACTAATTAATATGATTAATTTTTAAATGTTATAATAAAATATGAATTAAGAATCATGCATGTATGTATGTACACACATCAATGTATTTTAATAGATATTTTAGTTTAAAAAATTGTTCGTTGACATGTACCACATTTATAAAATTTTAAAATTTATTTAAATTAAAAAGCTTAAAATTTCAATACATGCATCATACATGCATATATACATACATAATATATGCATATAACATATGTATCGTACACACATCAATATATTTTTATAATATTTTAAAATTAAAATATCTATTAAAATATTAAACTTTTAATCTTATTTACACGATAGTCTATGTAATGCATGCATCATACACACATACATACATGCATACATATCATAAAATCATACATATATACATATTAATTATTTACACTATAATCTAATTATTTTAATAAAAATCGCTAGTCTTATAAAAAAGTGAAGATATCCAAAATTATAATAAAGGTTTACAACGATCATTGTAAATTAAATACACAATTTAAACATTTTTTTAATAACATTGAAACTAATCACTTTAGATCATATAAGAATCATACATAGAAAAGGTTAAGAGCTTAACCAAAACACTCGAACGAAAAATAAATACGAACAAATCAGACTGAATCAATAAACGAAATACAAAAAAAAATTAAACTATTAAAAAACCATCGAAAATCGTAAAATAAAGTCCAACATCCTATAATCCAATTTCCAAGTTTATATGTATTGAATAACAAGTATGAATATTATATTTGATGAAAGGAACCCAAGGCATGCGAGAGGCATGGCTGAATGTGTCACTGTTCAACCTTTATATTTACAAACCTTATATAATAATTGAACATGTTGGTATGTGTAGCTACGTGGACCAAGGGTTGTGGAGTACAGTTAACAATGTATGAAGGTCCATAAATTGCTAATTACAATCGCATTCAAGAACCAATAAAAAATAATTTATTAGTTAATCCAGAATCCAAGAGTTAAGCATCTAGTAATCCTAACCCTGAACATTATTAAATATTCTATAGCATTTTCCCTATATTTCTATGCACGATATCTTTATTGTAAAATACAATCACACTTTTGGAATTTCAAAGTCTAATAATATTTGTTGGCTTTAAATTTGTTAACAACTCATTTTACTTTATAATTTTCTTTTTAACTTTTTTTACATTTTATTGAGTCAAATTAATTAATAAAAAGAGTATAAAAATTTAAATTATGATCCGTCACGATTATTAAAAAGTTGTTCGTTGAAATGTACCACATTTATAAAATTTTAAAATTTATTTAAATTAAAAAGCTTAAAATTTTAAACATTCATCATACATACATATATACATACATAATATATGCATATAACATATGTATCATACACACATCAATATATTTTTATAATATTTTTAAATTAAAATATCTATTAAAATATTAAACTTTTAATCTTATTTACACGATAGTCTATGTAATGTATGCATCATACATACATACATACATACATGCATACATGCATACATGCATACATATCATAAAATGAAATTATAACTTCATTATTTACTGATGTATTTTTTTATGTATGATACGCATACATTAATACACACAGTATGCATATATACATATATGCATGTAATACATGTATTAGGGTTTATGTTTAGGGTTTAATATTTATGGTTTAAAATTTAGGGTTTAGGTTTAAGGTTTATATAAACTATATACTTTATTATTTTATATAGTTTATGCATAGTGTTCTATAAACTATATAAGTAATTTACTTTATATAGTTTATATATATATATAGGTTATATATATATAGTTTATATATACTATTCATGGTTTATACATACATATCATATGAAATTATTTAATAAAATTATTTAAATGTAAATTTTATAGAACATGATTAATTACATGTTAAATAATTAGTATGTCACATTGAATATTATATGGTTCATAAATAGTAGTACATGTCATATTAATTTCATTTGTATAATTAGTATTTATTTTGCATGTTAGGGTTTAGAGTTAAGGATTAAAGATTTAGGGTTCATGATTTAGGGTTTTTATAAACTATATACTTTATTACTTTATATAGTTTATGCATAGTGTTTCTATAATATATATATATATATATAATCTATAGATTACTTATATTAGTTATACATACATATATATACTATATAAAGTTTATATATAAACTTATATTATACATATATAATCTACAATTAAACCATGACTAAAATGAAATAAATCAAAAATCAAATACAAGTAGAAAAATAATGATTGTTGGAGGAGAATGAGTCTAATTAACCCAAAATATATTTCCAAATAAAATCTCAATTCTCCATTTCCCTCCAAAATTTTCTATTCCCTCTAAATTTCCCAATTTTCCTCTAAATTCTCAAATAAAATAAAAAAAATTCACACAAAAAAATCTTTATTTTAAAAAGTTTTCTCCCACCACTCACTTTGAATAATATATATATATATATATATATATATTTATACTATATTAATATAAATTATAGTTTATAAACTATATACTTTTTATAGTTTATACATATATAGTTTACATATATAGTTTATATATATAGTTCATATAAACATAATTTATATATATAACTTATAATAATTATATAGTTTATAATATAAATATAGTTTATATATATAGTTTATATATAAACTTATATTATATATATATTATTTTTTTCAATTTTTTAAATGAATACAATTTACTATATTTTTCATTATTTCTTCATATTTTGCATTTATTTTGATTTAATTCTTTTTTTAATTTATATAAATTTTAAGTTATATCAATTTTAAGTTTTTCACTTTTATATGTATTCAATTTAGTCCCTAAATTTATATTTGCATCTTCATTTGACCCATTGTTAGTTGTTATTTATATTTTTGTAACTGGCCCATAACTTTTTAAATGTGTTTAATTTAGTCATTTTTATATTAATTTAAACCTCACATTTTAAATTTATTTCAATTTAGTCCCTTACCTATATGTGTTGTTTAATTTATATTTTAAAATTTTATTTGTAATTTTACATTTCTTCAATTTCGTCCTTAAATTTATATTTTTTACAAAATTGATCTATGGATATTTATTTTTCTCTTAATTTACTCGAAATCATATACAATTACAACTTGCAATTTAACAGTCACGAAAGATGACAAAATAATTAATCCAAAAATAAAAACGACCGACATGAACTCAATCTGTATCTGGTAAACATCCGACCTGAATTTTATCTGTCAATGATGTGACCCAATCTGAACGAGATCCGACTGAAGTCCACCCGAACCTGAATTAGTCTGGTCTTTATCTGCTTCGGATCTGAATTGTTTTGACCTGAACTGACATCGATCCGAACTGAAAATGACCTGACTTGAACCAAATCTGGATCTGGTGTCAAATCAACCTGAAATAACCCGAACTAATTTGACCTGACCTGAACCCGATCTGGATCTGATGTCAAATCAACTTGAGTTGACTTGTACCTGATTTTACCCGACCTACCAAGATCCGACTGAAACATGTCCGATTACCTGATTTTACAACCTTAGTCAGCGGTGATACGATACGGTGCAGCTGGTTGGATGTTTACTGAAGTGATTTTCTTTAATGTCAAATTCCGAAATTGTTATATTCGTGAAATAAGATTAATTTTGAGAATAAACTTATCAAAATGTTATATTACTTAATATATTATTAAAATAATGTATTAATTTATCAACAATTAATTGGTCTAGTACGATGAGACATTAGATTTAAAGTCATGGGTTTAAATCTTGACAATTACATATGGATCAAAAAGGGTTGAGAGGATCGTCTCGTGATGGGCCTATGGGAAACTCGATATGAATTAGTTAATTAATAAATTGAATATCAATTGTTGATTAAAAAATATATATTACAATATTCGATTTGTTTAGAAGATATTATTGTATTCCCTGATCAGTCTCTCTTCAAGAAGCTCAAGTTGGTGAGAACGCATAGTCATGGATAAACATTGAAGGCCTAGAATCTTTGCTTGAAGTCGCTTCTTCTGGGCGAAGATATTGCCAAAGTGATCACGATTCCACTGTGAAAGATATAAAGCCAAAGCCTTTGAGTTTTCAACAAAACCTGCATTCAAAGAACTCCAAGAATGGCCGTTGTTATCTATCCAATACTTGCCGAGGGGAGAGTTGAATAAGTAAAGGACAGTGATCCGAGTGTAATCTAGGAAGATGAGATACTAACGCTTCAGGGAACCTTGTTCGCCAATTAGAGTTCGCCAACACCCTATCCAACCGAGCATGAATACGAGCAGGGCCCTTCCTCATATTCCACCAGGTATAAGAGGGGCCTTGAAAGCCTAGATCCATAGGGTTGCAATGCATGATCATCTCTTGAAATCGGCGACATCGACTCAAAGAAGGTAAATTACCTCTAAATTTTTTCGATGCGTTGAGCACTTTATTAAAATCTCCAGCAATAACCCAAGGATGATTAATAGATTCCGCAAATATCACAAGATTATCCCAACGTGTCCTCCTAGTCTCCAAATCAGGGCTAGCGTAGATTATCGAAAGATGAAAAGGTTCCATATCTCGGTACCTCACAACACAATTAACAATCTGAGACGAAGAGAACACAACATCCACAGTAAAAAGCTGATCATCCAATGCTATCCAGATCCCACCCGCAAAGCCTACAGGAACCTCGATAAATACTTTAGACAACGGCAGTTTCTTAGCAATCCGTTTAGCAAGACTTCCGGAGATCCTCGGTTCCACCACAGCGAAAATGCTTGGTTTATTATTAAGAATAACATCTTTAGCATTACATAAGAAGGACTTGTTACCAGCACCCCTACAATTCCATACCATGATATTCATTAACAAAGAGCTACAAGATCTCAAGTTAAGTCAACTCACTTGACGGAGCAATAGCACTGACGTCTAGCGACACATCATTCGATAGCATCAAGTCCATCGGTGCGTGACCTGTATTACGTACCACACTTAGCCTGTTTGTTGTTCAGAAAACACTCATCAGGGGGTTGCAGGTTCCTGTGATCATTCGAGGCCGCTGTAACATTAATATCAACTTCCCCCATTATTTCATCACAAGCAATAATTGGTTCCCCAACATCCAAGATGGAATACTATTATTCACGTTAGCATATTTAGTATGCATAGCTGGGTTTTTTAGGCGAGCACTAACTAGAATGGTTTTTGGTTGGTTTGTAGTAGCTCTCGGTGGTGTCCTCTCTTTTTCTAAAGGGTTAATAGCTTTTTTATTGCTCAACAAGTTATTATTTTTGGGAAGATTCTCCCCCTTTATTAGAGTCACAATATTGGTAATTTATACTTGTTAACTCCAAATCCCTTTCAACCGAGACAATATTTAAGGGTGAGAATCTGGAGCCCCCTTTATCTCTTCTATGATTCTTGCATTTTCCACTATCATCCCCTAAAATTTTGAGATTCTTCCTCGATTTATGATGTTGTGCGATCATCCAAGGTCCAAATTCCGATATCTTTTTCTCCGCTCCAGCTACCGGTGGAGCTTCGGTCCCTACGTGGCCAATTTCTTCGCCACCATTTTTCTCTTCTGACGGCATACTAACTGGAGCTTCCACCATGTCCGCTTGAGCAGTCCTTATGACCAAACATTCCACAGTTGAAACAGATCAAGGGTAGTCCTTCATATTCAATTTGATACCACCTACCATCAACCTCAATTTAGGAACCAAGGTTCTCCCAAAATTGAGCTCTACACAAACTCGTGCAAATCTTCCTTTGGAAGCATAACTGGTGTTACCCAAAATTGATCATGTTCCTGGCTGGATTTCTATGAGATCTCCATATTTTTTGTATCAAATTTTGATCTTTTGATCTTTGCTATGTTTATGTGTTTATTTTTAGGTAACATATTGGCATACTTATAATATTTTATTTTATTTAATATAATTGTGTGTTTATTTTTAGGTATCAATATATTGAGAGATTTACCTACTTATATCAATGCAAGTATGTATTAATTGTTACACTATTTTATTTTATTCATGCTACATGTATAAGTTGTACGATGAAATATCATATCAAATTATTTGACAAAACTAATATCAAACATAAAAAATATAATATAAAAACCTCTTATGAAAATTAATATTAAAAATAAACATAATAAAACAACATACCAAAAATAAAACATGAATCAAACACATACGTAATAAAAATCAAAATAAAAAATAATATTTTTGATATTTTGATATTTTTTATTTTATATGCATCATATTATTTTATAATAAGTATTACAAATCTAAAACTATTAAAAAATAAATAAATTTATAATCGTGTAATTATATACAAAAAGTAAATATCATTTTAAAATAACTATATTATTTTAAGGGTATGAGTAAATTATAAATTTTATCACTCAAATATCATTTTACTCCTAATTTGATCACTAAAATTTATTTATTTTAACTTAATCACTTATGTTTTTTTTTTGTTTTTTTTACTTTGATCATCCCATCATTAAAATATTTAATGTTGTTATGATCATCCTATTTCTAAGCATGCTAAATTAAGGGTTCTTAACTAATGGGGGATCGATTGTTCAAGTGCAATAGGTGACATGATTTAGCACTCATTGTGTTCAACGATGTCACTAAAGCTATAGGAGGACGTAATAACGCAATGACTTTGCCATTCGAAACTTTCTTGTCTTACTTCAACTTATTGAATATACCTATTCAACCTAGTGTTGGACCAACAACAACCTCTTGAAGTAGGTACAAGAGGGGATTCAAGTTCGTCAAATGAATAGATTGTAGGGTACCGAATCCCTGTATAAGGTGTCGATGCCCTTGAACCTGAAAAAAAAATTGTAAATATTTTAGTATCGAAACTGTTAAAAAAACTATTTGAGAAGAATATTGAATTCTATTGAAATGATAATAACCTCACCTCTTTACTCTAAATAAATTCAGGGACATTTTTTTAAGAGAGAAGAACGTAATATTCCAAAAAAATTAGTGATAATTTTAGTCGGAATAGATTTTGTATTAATATCTAATATCAATTGGTATGTTATATTAGCAAAAGATGATGAATTTGGGCTAAAGATGGTAGGAATCATGGTAATTGTAAAGAAAAATCAAGTTATAAGATTTTGGACTAAATTTCAAAGTTTCAAAATATTAAGGACAAATGATAATTTTGCCATAAAAGTTTTGCACAAGTGAATTAACAAAAAATAATAATTCACTTATGATTATAAAGACTAAATTGAATGATGGCTAAAAGTGGGATTATGAAGGAACCAAACTGGAATTATGTTCTCATGTAAATTATAATTATGGAATTTATGAAAAACATAAAGGATATATGAAGTATATATAAGAGATAACATTAAACGTCATTTACTAGAAATCACAATAAAGAAAAGAGGTATGGGTGTGGCTTGTAGGAATGGCTAAAATGATGAATAAAGAAAGAGACAAAATGAAATGCTTCACCTTTTCACTAAATTTGTATGTAAATTATTTTTTTACTCATGTAGATGTCTAACATTATAAACGTTATCATTTTAAGTGTCTCGCGTTATAAAAATTACCACTTAAAGTGCCTCGGGTATAACGACCGTTAAAAAAGTCTGTTAAGTGAAACATGTCACAAACTTAAATTTTGAATTTTTTATTTTTATTAAAAAAATATTATTAAAAAAAACTTTCCCATGCTACTCTCCCTCCCCAAGTGCCCCCTTACCTCCTTTCCTCTATTAATTTCCATTGCCAAACAACCAACCAAATAGTCGGTTTCCACAGTCGATTAAATGATCGATTATCAAGATTGATCAAATGAATTTAAGAGGTTGCCTATTTTGGATTTTAAGGGTTAGGTATTGAAATTTAAGGATTTGAGAATTTTAGGTTTTGAGATGATATTAAGAGTTATAACCGGTTAATGGGTTATCGACAACGTATGGATGGCCTGCCACCGACTAATGGGTGACCAGAGCTGACCAACGGTTTGAGTAAATGATACTAGAATAAGTTAAGAATTTGAGTTTCTTTTTTGGTATCTTAGGAAAAAATGGGACTTTTTTCAAAAATAAAAATATTTTTAAATTTTTTCAAAAAATAATTTTAAAATTACTATATTGTGACACATGTCACTTAATGTATTTTTTTAACGGTCATTAAAACCGAAACACCTAAAGTGCTAACGTTTGTAACATCATACACCTAAAGTGGTAATATTTATAACGTTAGGCACCGGATAAGTCGAAAAATAATTTAAGAAAAAAAAGCCGAAAATAAATCTGAAGAGGTAAAAATTATTCTTCATATTTGGAAGCAAGAAGAAATGAAGATGACGGAAGGAATTGAAATAGACTATTATAGGGAAATTTTGTTCATTTAGATAAGAGGATCCCAAGTCAAATTACTAATAGTGTTAAGAAAAATTATTCATTACAGATAATAGGATCCTATATATATATATATATATATGTATATATCGGAGAGTAGACTACTGTCTAACTTGTCTCTAAAAAGAATTGTAGGGTCTAAGTAAAGGGAGCTGGCATTAAATCCTTCAAGTGATGCACGTTTAATATGCTTTTAAGATCATCTTGAATTCTACTTATGGCTTTACTTGTGCTTTTATAAGGAAATTGACACGTTTAACAAATTGCAACTTGCCCCATATAGAAAGATTTATTGATAGTCAAGGTGGTCTTAATCTTGAAAAGCTTTTAGGTAACAGAAGTTGCTTAAAATGTTAGAAATTACTGTAAACGTCTTAAAACATAGAAAACAAAAGTTGCTTAACAAATTGACCTCATATTAAACTGTAAACGTCAACACAGCTAACGGGATCAACAATCTAGTTGGTTTTAAAACATACAAAACAATAGTTTCTGTTTTTATGTAATGACTTGCAATCGTTTCCATTAGATTACAATGAGATTCTGAAATAGCAATACATACAATTATCCTCTTCAAAATCAGACCTCAGCACGTATGCATACATACAAACCCAAGCCATGGCTTGAAACACTCCCATTCGCCAATCTTTTATTTACTCATGCCTCTTTGAACAGTTACTACATTGTAATCACCCCGGAATATTCAATATATATATACATACACACAAACTCATGCCTAAGATAACCCATCAAACCTGAAACAACAGTGATTCACAAAGCAAACCAGGCAGTAGAGCCAAAACACATTCTAACAAGGATATGTGCCCATACTGATACTATCATGTAAACCCATCTCTCTACTTGATTATTTATCTATTTGCATTTCAACTCGTCTAAGCTAAAATACCGACAGTTTAGTTATCGAGTAGTTATCTTGCCTGTAAAAGTTACCTAGGCTTTGTGATTTGTAAACCAAGATCTCCATGTCAACAATGATCTAGTGTCTATATTACTAATTACCTAAATGTTACATACACACCTAAAAAACTGGCGCTAAGTTCAAAACAAGATCAAAAGTCTTTTAACTACAATATACTGACAATAATGAACTTAAAGCAGAATATAGCAGCTCAACTAAAATTCAAGTTTGCTCCTTTATGAGAAGCTATAGTTGATGCTGATCTAACTTGGGGTCTCTAAGCAATGGATGCAATAGATTGGAGACAGGCAAATCTAATAGTTGCCGTGATCTTCTAGAATTGTGCCGACTTGCAAAAGTGCACAGTGCCTAGCGAACCATTTTGAAAACCTGGCAACTTCTATGGAAGGTCTTAAGCACATTCTACCTTGCATAAGGATGGTAGCGACTAATGCCTCCATATCCTGATCTATTGCCATATAATGGACCTGGTCCACCAAAGCCAGCACCTGGACCGGCAGCATAACTATCACTCGGACCTGAACCACGATAACTTCCATATCCTCCACCGCCACCTCCACGACCATATGCACCTATACCACTCCCACTAATCCCACCAGCATAGGAACCGTATCGGCTAGAATAACCAAATGATGGATCTCCACGATAACCAGAAAAACCACCACCACCACCAAACCCTCCATAACTACCACCAAACTCGGCACCAGCTCCACCATAACCACCATAATCTCCAAATCTACTTCCAAAATCTCCATAAGACCTATAAGGTGCAGGACCAAAACCACCATAATCATCAAATCCACCAAAACCATGATTGTATGAACGAGACCTAGATTCACTACCATATGCAGGACCAGGTGCTGAGGCTTTCTTTGGTTTAGCCTTCTTGATCTCAACCTACAACAAAGAAGTAAGTTAAGCTAGGTTTCCTTCACCGATAAATTCTCTGTACATCCTACCTTGAGAGGAGACATAATAACAACAATAAGCCTGCAACAAACTCAGATGCATTGAAAGTTGAAAAACTAAATAAATCAAAAAACAAAGGGAGTGAATGATGATAATAATACGATTGCTTTCATCACTGGAAGAGTTTAAAATGCCACTTTGCATTGTATCTGTACAAAGCGTACATACATATCTGCTTACATCAGATTGAATAAAGAACCACTTAACACTCACCTGATTACCCTCCATATCTATCATGTTCCCATTGGCTAGCATATCATCAACAATTGTTTCATTGTCAAACACGATAAACCCAAAACCCCGAGAGCGCTTGGTTGCATGATCACGTATTATCTCATGTTCGACCACCTTTCCATACTTTGAGAAGAAATTCTTGAACTCATCTAAGGTTTGAACAGCACGGAAAAGGACAAAAAATAAACAAACACACTTCTCCATCTATAACATAGCAATAAGTAAAATAAAAAATATAGCAAAAGTATATATGCATCAAATATCAGACCTTCAGTAATTGATGTTGGAATCCCACCAACAAATATTTTCTTTGTCTTGAAGTCATTTGACTGGGAAGAACCTTTTGGAATAGTCCTTTTAATCTCAACCTGTCAAAAAAATCTATCCATCATGCAAGATTAAACACTTGAGAAATCTCACAATAAGATCAATCCAAGATTTCCAAGATTAGCTAAATCCACCCCAGCCCCAGAAATATCATGGTGGGTAGTTTTTTTCCCCTTTAATTTCAGCAACATTAACACTAACCTAACTCTCCGCAATTTATAAGCAACGCAGTCATAAAGAGAGTAACTAAACCCCAAGAAAACAAAAAAACAAGTTCTAAAGTTGATCAGACCCTAATTAAGATTTCTCATATTGTAACCAACCGCAGAATCTTCAAATACAACAGAACAAGTACAAGGTGGAAAGCTCCAGCTTACTTGTTTCCCATTAATAACGTGATTTTCTTGCATAACAGTGTCAACAACAGAAGGATCCGCGAAGGTGATGAAGCCGAAACCACGGGGCCGGCCAGTATGTCGATCGTTCATTATAACAAAATCTGTTATCTCCCCATACTTTTCAAAGTACTCGGTAAATGTATCTGAAAAATCCCACCATAGCACCCCGAAAGCCCAAAAAAAAGGAGATGAAATTCAGTAATTTGAATGATTCCCATCAAAGAAAAACACAAATAAAACACAACGATGGGTGAGAAAAGAAGGGAAAAAGCTCTGCCACCTAGAATCGTGTCCTTAGCTAAGCCTCCAACGAAGATTTTCCTACACAAGAAAGAAAGAAAATGTCATACATCGAGATCGTTTGGAAATGAATAACAAAGGGGGTGTAAATTAGCATTACCCAGGGCTAGCACCATCATTGTCACCGCCTCTCCTGGAACCCATGAAAGGTAGCTAAGGTTTTGAGATCTAGATAGATGTGGGACGGAAGGTATGAGAGGCTAGGGTTTGAAGATGAAAGCAGCTGTTGAGGTATGTTTAGAAATAGATATTGAAAATCAGAAGACACATACATCAATTATATATATATATTGATTGGTAATTTGTTTAGGTTTACTAAGCCGGTGAGTTTTCTTGATGCTTTATGTTCGGTAATCTTCGATGTAGGGACTACAGGAGCCGAAGGCCTATATTACTTTTTTTTTTTTTTTTAGGTGAGTTTGGCTTACAGAATGTAAGATTATCAGAGAATATGATTAATGAGAATGTTACACTACTGTATTTGATTGGTTTGACACGAATGTAAGATTACAGTATTTGGTTGTAGGAATAAAAGATTACTGGAATGTATATTTTACCAAATTATCCTTGTTTTATATTTTTTAACAAGTAAAATTCTAAATATTTAAATAAAAATTATTTATATAAAAATTATATTTGTTGATAATATATTATTTACGTATTTAAATATATCACATATTATTTTTATTTTAATTAATATTAAATTTTACATAGTAAAATTCTAAATATTTAAATAAAAATTATTTATATAAAAATTATATTTGTTGATAATATATTATTTACGTATTTAAATATATCACATATTATTTTTATTTTAATTAATATTAAATTTTACATAATTTATGTAAAAATATTTTAAAATTTTACATTAACATTTAACTAAATGTTTACACTGTGAAAATTATTCATAGATATTCATAATAATAAAAATATGTATATTATTTTTTATCTAATATATAATATTTATTATATCTTCTATATACAATAATTTATTTATTTATCTTTTATATTTATACTTAATTCTGCATACTTTATCAGTATTATTTATCACATGAATTTATATTACAAAAACATAATTCAAATAAGTAAGAAAATATAACACTAAAAATTATATTGTCTATAATTTTATATTTAACCGTCATTCATCATTATCTTTGCTAATATTTTAATAAAATTATTAATACTCAGTCATAATCTGATTTGTACTTAACTCTTGATTACGAAAAACAAGCAACCCAATAATTCATGTTTCCTAACTTGTAATTTCTCTCCGAACATACAAAATCCGACAGAGGCCAAACTTTGAACATACTAGACCGTTAATTTCTTTCAGATCATACACAAATGACAAGTGAAATAGCTTACCTGTATCTAAAGAAAATTCTAAAACAATTTTAAGTGGCTGCTAATTCGGTCATGTCCGAATTATTCTAAGATATCGGTCATGAGATTGCTAATTCGACTATGTCCGAATTATTGTAAGTTTGTCTGAAATTTGACTTATTTCCGAATTATATGGACTATTTGTAGGGAAAATGATGTCCTATTCAACAATAGAAGCTGTAGCGAAAACCAAATTTTTGAACTGACACTGTTGAGGATTAGTTTTTAGAGTAAAAATCTAGATTTTTAAGCGTAAATAGTAAAAACGAAGATGGTGTTTAAAAAATTTGATACATAATTATTGGGGTAAATAAATTAAGTTTGAATGAATAGGATTTTATTTGTATTTGTTTATTTATTTTTATAAGTATTTATGTTTAATTTGTATTCATTTAATTTTTTAGCATGAAGCCATGATGATAATAATGTACTGTAAATAAGAAAGCCTACAGCAAAGATCTAAGCAAAAGAAAGTATCACTCCTCAAATTGATTGATAGATAAAAGAGAAAATAATAAATTGAATGATAGTAAATAAGTATTCTAATTAGACTTAGGTTCTTTTGATAAAATAAAGACTTATCAACAATGCTAATGCACCTCAAGGAGTGTAAAACAAGTTGGGAAACCGGCTTTTCAGACAATGGGTCATTTCTTGTTTCCTTAATTACATCGTCATTTGGCCATACATTTTCATCCACTTCATCACAAATGATATCCAGCCTGCTTAGCAAACTCCTGATGATATCATCCTGATCAGAGCCATAAACAATTGCATAAGAAAAGATCATCAAGCACATGTCACTCAAGTGAATAAGGTCGTCTATTCTTATGGGATTGAGAACATACAAATAACCTCTGAATGTTAACATTTCAAGTTCTTATTTCTATGCTGAAGAATTACAAGGAGTCTTTAAGGAATTGACTAGTCATGACTGGTATAAATAAAGAGAAACTACAACTCAATAAAAACGAAAGGAAGATAAAATATAGTATATGCTTGTTTAAAGCATATCACCAAATAAAGTATGACATGCCAATTAAGAGAAAATAATAGCTACATGAAAAAGCCTGCACCATGCATACAGAAGCACAATTTACAACTGAGAGGTATGCTAACTCTAATTTAAACCATATATGACATAAGGTGGAAAAAGACTCTTCAGACCAAAGTTTAGGGTTAGAATGTCTTTTGATCTGCAAGAGAATGTTAGATTCTCGGTGCACACGTTTGTACTGAATTTGTCAACATCAACTCAACTAAATCAGATAATTTCATATATTTTCCAAAATTTCTATTCCAATCACAACCAGTCAGATAAACATTTGAAACATATCTAACTTGCTCGTTGTTATCTTACATAAAGATGCAACATTTATTTCTTAGGATGAAAATTTACATCCCAACACTTCTCTAGTATATATAAAAAAAAGACCAAGTTGTTATCCAAACCAAGAAATGAGTACCTTTATATCAGCAACAGCCTGTGAAATTGGTTCCTTTGAATTCAAGAATGAAAAGGAACATACAGAACCAGTAAAATTGACAATACCTACAACATCTTTCTGGTTGCATGCTTCACAAAATTTAAGCAAATTATTAAATGTTAGATTTAACATTATAACAAACATGAAAATATAATTGAGTTCAAAATTGGAATGGCCAGAGAACCTCCGATGTACATATCCTTCATGAATGGTAGAAGCAACTCAACTTCATGCAAATCGTCTGTTGTGCAAGTTTCATCATTAACAACCTAAATATAAAAAGATCATAGCAATTATCAGTAGAAAGGTGAGGGATTTATTAAAAAGGAATAGATATTATTCCATAATCATAGAAGATTAATAATGAATAAGATGCTCTGAGATTCAAAAGGTTGATTAGAGTAATTCTCACAAGGTTCCCATCGATCATGGCTTTTGCACCTCGCAGCTCTTGAACATAATTTGAAATTCCATTACGGAGAACACCAACAAGTGTCTCAGGTTTTGATGCTTTCTCTTGATATATAGGCAGCTTGGGTAACATATACCATAGTTAATAAAAAATGACTACACATTCTTTTGATGCTAAAATAGGAGGTAGGAAAATGTCAACATATGTATGTAGAGAACCAACAATGTGAAAAGAGAAACCAAGTTGCAAATTAAGCCTTGTCATATGGTAGCCTAATGCAGGCAAAAAATAGACGCTAAGAAAGAAGAGTGAACTTCACTTGTACACAAGGACAATTTTAACTGGTATTCTCAAACCAAATAATAGAGGTCTGTGACGTTATAGATTTGATTAAGATAAAAATTAATAGGTAATACAGGTTACCTGAGATCAAAGTGGTAGAAGCACTTAAAAGTTTGAAGAGAAGTTAAGATGACCCTTCCCATTCTGAAGTCACAAGGCCGTAAGCTACTTGATGAAATATTCGATGACAGTGTACAATTTCGACATGTCCAGCTACCAAAAACGTGTAATTTTCAGATCAAAATTGAAATTGAACTTTAAAAACTGGGGAACGTGAAACAACAATAACAAATAATGACTACAGGTCTAGTTCTTATAAAATACCTCCTTGGGCTATAACATATATATGTGAATAAGCAATCTTTCATCAAGGTCTTCTTCCAAAAGGGATACTGCTTCAGCAATTCCCTTCACAATCTGTAAAATCCATTGCATTTTATTAAACGAAAAACATGCCAAGGAGAAAGAAAAATATTCATGATTATGGCCATTTTGATCCTTGTTTTACCGTAATGCTCGGCAACTCTTTGGAATTAGAGGCTCAATTCAAGGCTTATTACCTCTCTACATCCTTATTTGCAGACAATCGCATATTTTTTATAGTAACTTTCTTTTCGTCCTGTTTGACGTGGGATTAATAACTTTCACTTCTTCAAGAAGTGATACTATGTAAATGATGTTGTCATATTTCCTAATCAGGGTCTTTACTTCCACAGCAAGTTATTAACTAAATTTAGATTTCTAGCAGTATGGCTTGATCCCCATAAACTAATTACTCCACTAGTAGACCCTTCAGCAGGAGAAACCACCATTTGTCATAGAGATGATCCCCAAACTTTCCTTATGAAATTATTATCTACGACCTACAGTTTAGATTCCTGGAAGAAAACTACCTTAGGATGGTGTTTGGAAATCAACTCTCAGGCCGCTCTTTATTTCTCAATTTTACCAAAACCCCTACCATTCCAAGACATTATTGATAGATTCATGGATAAATTTGAGATTAATACCCAATAAGAAAACGAAATAAAACCCAATGGCTTTAAGATCTATTAAGACCCACCTTCTCAATTTCACAACTTTTGTTTAGAATAGCATTTTTACCTCCTTGAAAAGAGACTTCGAGGCTTTACTTATTTCCCAGGCTGCTTCTGCTTCCTCAATGGTTTGAGCAAGCCCCTCTTCCAACTCAGACGAGATTTCCAGAGATTCATAGCTTCCACTATCTAGGACATTGTGAATTTGTTTCCTTAACAATTGCCTTTGATTAGCCTTGTAAAAATTGTTATATGGAAATCGAAAGATAAAGCTCATCTGATTTTTGGGTTGATTCACTTTATCAGAGGCAAGCTCACAAGAAAATAAGGGTATTTTAGCCCTTAGCACGGGAAAGGAAAAATACTAACACACGTATGGGAATAACATACCCAGAAATAAAATAAAAATTTTACTGTTGGTATTAAAATATTACCTTGTGAATCTTGATCCAAACATGGGTATCCTCCATCAAGAAAAAAAAATACCCGCTGGAATGCTAAATTCCTTAATCCAAACGGACTGTTACAGGGTAAAGTATTCGGTTATTTATTTATTTTTATGATTTTGTTTTACTCATTTAATATTTTATTATATTTAATAATTTATTCAATTTAATTGTTTTTATGATTCGTTTTAATCATTAAATTAATGAAATATATAAATTTTAAAAGCTAAAACTATTATTTATATCATATCATATTAGATATTTATTTTAATTTTGAAATATTGATAAGAATTATATTTTACAAGTAATACGAATTTTATTTCAGGTCGGATTACACCTACAAGTCACCAATGGGTAAAAAGATAATATTTTTGTTATGATTATAATTATTTTTTCTTAATCTCTTCATTTTATTCTTTTGTATCTCTATTTTCACCTTGCCTCTTTTTTTTTTACTCTTTCGGTTCATATGTTTTAAGTCGTAAATTTTTATATTGATTGATTCTTGATCATTATCAGTCGTCATTAATAACAATCGAATGGAGCTGATTTTAGGGTAATCTCTTTGTCAATAACTGTCCTTCCTCCCCACAAATATGATTGGACTTTGAATATACATAATTGAAATCTCAAAATTTTGAACAATAAATCTTTTCTTCTTCTTCTTTTCAATTTCTCTTTTTGATTTTTCCCCTTATTTAGAACTTACAATGTTTGGTTTATAGTTCTTTTTTGTATACAAAGATTTAGGTTAAAGTTAATTATCTTAGTCCATGATCAGAGCATATTTAAAACTCAATTTGAATTCATATAAGAGTTTACAGATTGTTAAACGTGACGATAGTAAGATTCAAATTTGGACTTACAAACTCAAATTCTTAAATCTCAGTCACTTGTTCTAACACTCATTAACCTTGTTTTGTTAAGTTGAACATTGATTAATTTAGGGACAATTTTTGGTGAAAGATTAAGGGTACACAAGTTAAGGTACCCGTGTACCCCTCACACCCAAAACTAAAAGAAGGACGGTTCATTTCGAGAACCATCACGTCTCTATCTGGTTCTATAAAGCCCTAAATTCGACCATTATTTCAAGAAATATCTCGATTTGTGGGTTTTTTTTTTTGCAATATATAAATTAAAGTAATTAAACTTAGATTTTGCATTAAAATGATTCGATGTTAAAACAAGAGAATTACTGAAAATGCCTCAATGTATTAATTTATCTCATTTAAACCACTTATATAGTATTTACAACAAAACTAACTGTCTAACTAATTCTCTAACTGATTCCTAACTTCCTTAACAACTTCTTTATTCTTAACACTCCCTCTCAAGTTGGGAAGTGAAATACATCTTTAACTCCCAACTTGGATAAGAGATACTTATGATGTGCAACACCAAGAGCTTTTGTCAGAATATATGTTTGTTGCTCTGCAGTTGGTACAAATTCTGTTTGAACCAAGCCTTGCTGAATTTTCTTTCTTATAAAATGGCAGTCTATCTCGATATGCTTTGTTCTCTCATGAAACACAGGATTTGTTGTAATTTATAAGGTTGTTTTGCTATTACTGAAGATCTTTGCAGGTTGATTATTGTTGACACCAAGCTCCTTTAATAACCATTGCAACCAAATCAGTTCTGATGTTGTCACTGCCATACTTCTATACTCAGCTTATGCTGAAGATCTCGCTATGGTACTTTGTTTCTTTGATTTCCATGAAACTAGTGAATCACCTAGCTTTACACAGAAACCTGCCATTGATTTCCTTGTCATTGGACATGTTGCCCAATCCGAATCGCAGCTAGCTACCAGCTGAAAACTACTTGAAGCTTTCAAGATAATCCCCAACCCATGATTATTCTTTATGTACCTTACCACTTTAAGAGTTGCTTCCATGAGCTCTTTCTTCGATTGATGCATAAACTGGCTAAGATGTTGACTGAAAAAGCTATATCAGGCCTTTTATGTGCCAAATAAAGCAGCCTACCAATTAACCTTTGAAATTATGCTTTGTCAGCTAAACAATCCTCACCTTTGTTTTCTTGTTGCAATGAATGATCATACTATACTGTAGTAAGTTTAGTGTTCTGTTCCAAGGGCGTTGCAGCAGGTTTTGCACCCCTATACATGTATCTTGAATAAGCTCAAGAGCATACTTCCTCTGATTTAATAATATCCCTTTTTTTGTTCTCAAAACTTCCAAGCCAAGAAAATCTTTTAATTCTCCTAAGTCTTTCATTTTGAAGTTCTTATGCAACACTCCTTTCAACTCTGAAATCATCTTAGCATCATTCCCTGTGATTAGCAGGTCATCAACGTACACCAGAAGTACTACTATACAATCCCCTTGTCTCCTAGTAAACATAGAATAGTCATGTTTGCTTTGACTATAACCTGATGAGATGAGGGCTTTTGTGAGCTTAGCATTCCATTATCTCGAGACTTGCTTTAAGCCATAAAGAGACTTTTGTAGTCTACACACAACATTCTCCCCCTGACTACAAAAACCTTGAGGCAACTCCATGTAAACTTCCTCAAGTAAATAACCTTGCAAGAAGGCATTGTGAACATCCATTTGCCACTGAGGCCAATCAAAAATGGCAACAAGTGCAAGAACAAAACGAACTGTGGTAAGCTTAGCAACAGGGGAAAAAATATCAACAAAATCAACTCCATCTCTTTGATTATAACCCTTAGCCACAAGTCTTGCCTTGAACCTCTCAACTTCACCCGAGGCTTTGAATTTTACTCTAAACATCCATTTACACTCAATGCATATTTTTCCTGGGGGCAAGGGAACAAGAGACCAAGTTTTATTTAATTCAAGAGCATGAATTTCCTTTTGCATTGCCTTAACCCATATGGGATCAGATTGGGCTTCTTGAAAAATTTTTGGTTCAAGGAAATGAGAAACGGAAAGTATAAAAGACTGTGTATGATTTGGTAAATGAGAATAAGAAATATGATTAAATATGAGATACTGACCTGAAGGAGAATTGGATTGGCAGGTATGAACATAATCACTCAACCAAATTGTAGGTTTAAAAACTCTAGAAGATACCATAGTAGTCACAGGACTAGGAACAGAAGCTTGAGAAATAATGGCTGGAACTACATCTGTTGAAGCATTGGAAAGATCTACTGAACTAGTGGAAGAATGATTAGTGGAGACTTCTGAAGAGGCTGAAGGAAAAACATAATCTGAGGAAGGAATTTTGTTAAGTGAAAAAGGGAATGAGAGTTGCAAAAAATCAGAGTCAGGTATGTCAGGATGAGGAGGAAAAAATGACTGATCAGAGGAAGCAAATTTAAAAGGAAAGACATCTTCATGAAATATGACATCTCGGTTAACAAAAAAAGTTTTTAAGTAAAGATTAAAGAGAATGTAGCCTTTTTAGTAGCAGAATAACCTAAGAACACAGTAAGAATAGCTTTTGATGAGAACTTAGTTGCATAGCATAAACAACCAAAGACTTTAAGATGAGATAAAGATG